TTGTTTTTTTTTTTTTTTTTTTTTTTTTTTTTTTTTTTTTGGTACCAGGGATCTAACTCTGGTCCTTGTGCTTACGAGGCAGGCAGCAGTACTGAGCTAAATCCCCAGCCCAAGGTTTTATTAAGAAATATTTTAGGTAGGGGCCGGGGATTTAGCTCAGCGGCACAGTGCCCACCTTGCAAGCACAAGGTCCTGAGTTTGATCCCCGGTACCGTACCCAAAAGAAATATTTGAGGGGAAACTTCCCAAGGCATTGTTTTATTTAAACCCTGCCCCCTTTTAAAATTCAACGAACAGGGTGTGGTGGCACATCCCTGTGATGCCAGCACTTAGGAGGCTGAGGCAGGAGGATTGCTGCAAATTCGAGGCCAGCCTGGGCCACATAGTGGGTACAAGGCCAGCCTCAACTACATAGTGAGACCCTGTCTCAAAAAAAAAAAATCAACAAATGTTTATTGAGCACTTAGAGACAGAGCATCAAGAAATAAATTAATAATACTAACTTGGTCTCAAATATCTAAAACTGCAACCAATTAATTCTTTCATGTATACAGAAGATGGACTTATCTTGATTTCATATACAAGAGCTTATTGTGTGAAAATGTATGACCTGCTAATTTTGCTTCTATTCAGTCTTAGTTGAGTTAGTTATGTGGAACAGGTAGTACAGCTTTAGAAAAACCAACAACTCCAACTATCAAACTTTTTCTAGTAATGTCTGTTCCTATTTGCACAAGTCTCCTCTTCTGGTTGTTCCAGCTTGTCAGGCAAATTATGTCAAAGAAAATCAGTTAAGCAATAATGAGGAAATAATGAGGCCTGAATCAAATGTGTTTATCCCTTTGAGGAGCTCAGGGAAATCTCAGGAAAGTTACCAACCATTGATTTAGCTGAATTCTATTAGAAAGGATTTTTCTTTGTAAGGACTATTTAGGTTTGAAAAACTTTTTCTAAAATAACTTCAAGGGAAATATTTTAGTTTGTTTATCCCTTGATATACTGACTGTAAAGCTACTGTTTGCCTGGATAATATAGTTGGTTTTGTTTGTTTGTTGTTTGAGGCAGGGTTTCACTATGCAGTTCAGACTGCCCTGGAACTCACTGTGTAGACAAGGCTGGTCTCAAACTCACATAGATCCTCCTGTCTCAGCCTCCCGAGTGCTGGGATTACAGGCGCGTGCCCCACCACACCCAGTTATGGATAATATAGTTTGAGAAGTAGTTTTATTTAGTTAGGAAGTATACGTAACTGGTTCTTTCACATTTAAAAAGATTTTATTATTACATTTGCAGTACATAATGATTACATTCCTTGGGGACAGCTGGCACATGTATATAGCACACCTCAATTCATTTTTTCATCCTTTTCCACTTCCTCTACACCTTGTCTCCCCCTCCCTCCATCTCCTGGTCCCCTTCTGTGTTGCAAAAAAAAATCAACTTCTGTGTTTCCTATAATCTATCTTTTCTTTTGCTCTTTATTTATACTTTGGATTTCTCATGTAAGAGAAACTGTGCACTATTAAAGCTTGTGTGTGTGTGTGTGTGTGTGTGTGTGTGTGTGTGTGAGACCTCACTTAACATTATGGTCTCCAGATGCATCCATTTTCCTACAAATGACTCAAGCTTAGCCTTCTTTGTGGCAGAGTATCACTCCGATGTGTATGAATACCACATTTTCTTCATTCATCTGTTGACGGACATACAAGACACTTTCAAGATTTAGCTATCATGAGTTGCAGTGCTATAAACATGGTAATGCATGGATCACCGCAATATGACAACTTAAACTCTTTCAGGAATACACTTAGAAGGGGAATAGCTAGGTCGGATGGGATTAGTATTTTTAGTTTTTTGAGGCATCTCCATACTGATTCTATAGCGGTTCTACTAGTTTACCTCCTCACGTAGCTCTGTATTTGTTGGCTGTTGCAGTAGCTGGAGTTCTCTAGAGGAACAGAGGCAACAGGAAATACATGCATGATGGTGGAAGGGGATCGATGAGGCTTACAGGGTCAGAGTTGGGAGAGTGCACAGTGTCCACAGGAAACTTCAGACGCAGGAGAATGCACAGTGGCTGAGTGTGCACTGTGGAGCCGAAGGACACAGCAGCTGCTCAGTCCAACTGATGGAAGCTAAAAAACAAGAAGGCTCAAGGAGCCAGGTGTGGTGGTGCACACCTGTAATCCCTGCACTCAGGAGGCTGAGGCAGGAGGATCGCCATGAATTCGAGGCCAGCCTGGGCTAGAGTGAGTTCAAGGTTAGCCTGAACTACGCAAGGTGACTTCATCTCAAACAAACAAACACACACACACACAACCAAAAAACAAAAGGGCTCGAGGATGCAGCACCAGTCCAAGGTCAAAGGCCTGGACCCGTCTGCATTGGAAGGCAGAAGAAAGTGGCAGCCTGGAGATGGACGTCCAAAGGCAATGGCAGTAGGGAAGGCACTTGCTCAAGCCTGGAGTTCTTAAACGGGACACACTTCCTTCTTTCCTTTTAAATTCATCCAGGCTACAAGCCTATTGGTTGGTGACACATAACTAGGGCGGGTTATCCACCTCAATTGGTTGGACTACCTGTCAATCACCCACACACACAAACACAGGACGGAGATTTCCTGATCGTCTAGGCTACTTGCTAATCACACTGACACATCACAGTTCACAGTCATAGCTGTACATTCTCCAGCTCCTTCCACGAATTGTAATCGTAGCAGAAAGAAGTCAGGGCATCACATTTTCCTAGACACAGATTATTTTGGGGTTGGTGTTTGTCCTGAGAGACAGCCTGATTCAAAAGCAATATTGTTTGTTGAGGAGGGAAAGAGAAGCTACCTTTCATTCAAGGTTGCACAGCCATGGTATAGTCAGTTAGATCCATTTTGTAAGGCAACCACTTATTATGGTGGTTTTTTGAAACAGTCTCATTTATGATTGTGCTGTCTGTGCCCTGGGCGAGACGGTCTCATTATATATTTCAGGCTGGCCCGAACTCTCTAGACAGCCCAGGCTGGCCTCAAACTCCCAGCAAGCCTCCTGCCTCAGCCTCCTGAGTGCTGGGATGACAGATGTGCACCTCCATGCTGTTCTGTAAGGAGTGACAGAAGTGGGCATGTGCTCACCTGTGAACACGGAGACTACCTTGGTTATGCGGAGTGGGGAGTAGTGGTTGAGAGAGTGTATTACTGGTTGAGTAGATTTGGTGCAGATTGGAGGAACATACAGAGGTGATTGATTTTTGTTTTATTCATATCTTTTCTACAGATCTTGTTACAATAATCTTTTGCTTTGTTTTTGAGACAGGACCTTGCTATGTTGCCCAGCTGGCCTCAAACTCCAAATCCTACTGCCTCCGTCTTCTGAGTAGCTGGGACGGCAGACAAGCACCAGTAACAAAACTTTTTATTGTTGTTCAAGGTAAATGTTGCTCTCTTTACTTTTATTCTATTCACATTCATGGCAGGCAGTTGGAAGGTGGACATAACACACCTGGGCTCTCTTTATGTTGCCTGCCCCGCCCCTTCGACTCTGGAAGATTAGGGTTTCTGGAGGAAGAGCAAATCCAAGGGCCAAATTCATGGTGGGAAGTGAGTGTCCCCCTGGGAAGTGTGAAAGTCTTGCAGGATCTCATTTCTATGGCAAGGAAAATCTAGTGTAATCAGAGCTTCATTACCTCTCTCCCTACTCCATTCTGCCCCCTTTAATAACCCAGTGGGTTAAAAATGTACAACTGTATGGTTGGCACAACTGGGCCAGGACATGGCAGGTGGTGAGCAGGAGAGGAGGGCAAGGGCCAGCACCCTAGGGTGACCAGGTTCACCTTCATCTGCTCTGTCCCCTGCCTCCATCAACTTGGAGCCCCACAGGAGATGGGAAGGGGACTTCAAGGGACAAGGCAAGGTCAGCCCTGCCCGCAGGAGGGAGTGAGTAGAGAGAATCAGGACAGAGTGCAGGAGGTTGCTAAGTGTGGTAAAGCCTCTGCCATAGTTCTTCCTAGGAATTTCCACACAATGGACCGATTTCTCATAAAACAAAGGGAAAGCAGAGCAAGGTGGCCTGAAACCCCAGCACTCTGGGAGGCTAAGGCAGGAGGCTTACCATGAGTTCTGGGAGACTGAGACAGTTGCCGCAACTTAGCTAAATTCTGTCTAAAAAAAAAAAAAAAAAGGCTTAGGGATGCAGCTCAATATTAAGGCCTGGGCGCTTAATACTGCAAGAAAGTAGCATAAGAAAAACAAAACAAAAACAACTATGGTCATTCTAGTGCCTCACCACTTAGCCTTCCTTCTTTTAAATATTTTTGTTGCTATTTTGCATCATTTGCAAAAATAAAACGGACGCGAAATAAAAAATTAGGAAAATTCAGTAGAGCATAAAGAGCCGTTAGTTCCGTTGTTCAGCAAGAGCTATGAATACCTTTCTTTAAATAGTAATGGGGTGTCTGAATTCTTTTCTGGACTGCTTGCTTTCCCTCTACCCTGGTAAGGGCAGCGCAGCCAGGGTAGACCCAGGGCGGACCCAGGCCGGCGGCCGACGCTCCGCCCCCTGCGAGGCTGACGGCCCTACGGCTTCTTTAAGGAGGCGGGGCCTGGGACCCCACGCTGATTGGCGGATCTCTGAGCCACGTAGCCGGCGGGGCGGGGGGATCTGTGGAGGGCGTCTCGGGAGAGCGTCCCAGGAAAGGTCGCGCTGTGACTGATGATCGCTCAGCGGGCCCTGGTCAGCGTCACCTTCTGTGTCTGCTACCTGGCTTCCTACCTCACGAACAAGGTGAGGGGCGGGCGTGTGGGGGTGCAGCCGGGTCCCGTACGCCTTCCGCTGGTCTCGAACTGATGGCGAGGCTGGTGGCCGAGAGGGGTTTCCTGCGCCCGCGTCCGGGTGCCGGGCCGTCAGGCAAGGTGCCTGTGCACCTCCCTCAGAGCGGGGTGTTCTTCCCAGGCCCAGGAACTTAATTTTGGGCTGCGAGGTCTACTTTTAGGGAGTACCCTGTGGGAAGGAAGAGTTCAGCTTCTCCCCTTCAACCCCCAAAGGTGTCCTTGGCCCGGAGTCCCAGAAAGTTACAGAAGCTGTCCCTCAGATTAGTCCAGGTCCCTGGATTCCAGGCTGAAGCCAAGCACTCAGGAAACTGACCTGACCAGGGTCACTAAGGGTATAGAGGAAATGACCGGGTGTCCTTTAACCCTTTCTTTTCCTCCATGCTGGAATGAAACTAGCAGGGAGGAGTAGGGGAAGTGTATTGGAAGATGCAAGTAAATAAATTTAAGGGAAGAATTTCGTAGATATTAAATATGCTACATACTATAAATGCCTTGATCTTTCACTCCCTTTTAAAAAATCATGTGAAGAATTAGCAGAGCCTCCTCTCAAAACCACGTAATGGTTTTATTTAAAATATTCTTGGGCCAGGGATTAGCTCAGCGGTTCGGTGGCCTTAGTGGTGCCACCACCTGCCTTGCAAGTGCAAGGACCGGAGTTTAATCCCCGGTACAAAAAAAAAAAAAAAAAAAAAAAAAGTTTAAAATAGTCTTAAACCAGGACTGGGGAGGCTGAGGCAGGAGGCTTACCATGAGTTCAAGGCCAGCCTGGGCTGCATAGTGAGACCCTGTCTCAAAAAAACAAAAAAAAAAGTTACCCAGAAGGACCAAATACAATTCCATCCATAAAGTGGTATAATTTTGGTTAAAAGACATAATAGAAATATAATTTTTTGTGTGTGCTGGGGATCGAACTCAGGACCTTGTGCTTGTGAGGCAGGCGGTGGAACCACTGAGCTAAAACCCCGGCCCAATAGAAATATAAATTAACCTTGGCAGAATTGAATTCACTTAAAAGAAAAATGCATTCTCTTGAAAGGCCATTTGTTTGCCCAGTATATGATTTTGGAAGAATAAAGGACTTCCTGAAACTTGGATGTATTTATGTTTTTCAGTGGGAATTTCTTTGATTCTGTGCTCTATCAATTAATTCTCTGTCATTTGCAATGTCCACTAATCTGGTATTGTTTTTCAGTATGTCCTGTCTGTCCTGAAGTTTACCTACCCTACATTGTTCCAAGGGTGAGTAGCTTTTCTGTCTCTTGTATACATTTGTGGGAGATGTTCAGCTAATATCACTAAATGTTCTTTCAAATAATTTTAATGACTGTACAGGTTTATTATCAGACATACTATAATCGATTTAGCCACCCTGTTAGAAGGACTTTAAATTGTGTCCTACTTAAGGGAACGCAATATTATCAGGTGTTTTTGTACTCAAGTCGGCCAATTTTCCAATTATTTCTGGAGGATAGAGTTCTACTTAAGAAATTTCGGTAAAAGAACATGAACTTTATCATTCTTGAATATGAATAAATTATATAAATTATTTTTCAAAAATGTTTTACTGGTTTACCTTGCTACCTGCCTGCCTGTGGAACTTTTTTTCTTTTTCTTTTTCTTTTTTTTTTTTTAGACAGGGTCTCACTGTGTAGTTCAGGATGGCCCCAAACTCACTATGTAGCCCAGGCTGGCTTCGAACTCACAGTGGTCCTCCTGCCTCAGCCTCCCAAGTGCTGGGATTATAGGCGTGTGCCGCCAGGGCCAGTGGAACTTTCTGTAATATTGTATTTAAACCATGACTATTGTTTTTTTTCTCCCTGATGATTTAAAGAGCCAGCAATGGCATATTATTTTTGCTTTAAAATTTCTCACCTTATTCACAAAGTATTCTCATAATTTTAGTGACTGTTTTCTCAGTGGCTCTTCTTTTACTGCCTCTTACCCACTCATTTTCCCAGAAGTTTTAGTATTTTCTCTTATTGATGTAATACAGTCTGAATTTTAACAATGCTGGGAATATTTTTGCAGTTTGCACTTTGCTTTTTAGTTTATTTGTAATTATTTTGACGATTGTAATTGGTGATGGGCAGAGGCATTGTTTTCTCGTTATTTTGTGGTACGGACATTCCATTCTTCACAGCTGTGTGTAGTTTTGGTCACTGGCAGTTTATTCTGGGTCACGGTGTATGCTGAGGGAGTCAATCCCTCCCCGAGTTAACTGATTTCTATGAGTTGCATTCATCACGGGTCCATCCTTTGGCCTCTGGGTTCTTGACATCATAGATAGTTATTTGGGGGCGGTCCCTTTGTCAGCTTGTATGTTAAGGGGCTTGTTTTACATTAAGGGGATTGCTTTAATTATTATACCATTTACATATGTGGTGCAGCAAGTTATTCTCCTTTTTCTACCTCTTTTCCTAATTAGTGTTTTGGCTTTTCTTTTCTGGGGATTGAATTCAGGAAGCTCTGAGCTTCAACCCCAGGCTTTTTAATTTTTAAATTTTGAGACAGGGTCTTGCTTAATTCCCCAGGGTAGCTTTGAATTTGTGGTCCTGCCTCAGCCTCCCGAGCATATGGGATTACCCACACCTGAGCCATATCGGGCATCGTCTGCCATTCTGACAGACTTTCTAGAAGGGGAGGTGCTGCCCCTGAACCCTGCTTTGAGGGTGGGGTGTGGGCTTCAGGACTGGGCCCCTTGAGGCCGCACATGGGCTGCGGCCTGCACCTGCAAGGATCCACAGTTGAGGCAAACACTCGGGCTTTGAGGTGGAGAAAGGATGAAGTCCACGAAGATGGGGCTCCGGATGTGAGTGCTGTTAGGAGAGAAGTAAAACCCCAGGATCCAGCCAAGCCCACGAGGGTGGTGAGGGCAGAGGCAGGACTGGGGGCCCCCCCTGGGTGCCTAATTAGGGACCACAGGGTTCCGCAGGACAAGGATCAGCTTGGGGCCACAGTTCCAGGTAAGGTCCACAGTGTGTAACTGGGAGCTCATAGGGCTTCCGGGTGGTGGTTTCTGGTGAGAACAGGGATTAGGGGTTTTCATTTGATTTTGAGGCAGGGTCTTGCTGTGTGGCCCAGGCTGGCTTCAGACTTGGCAGTAATCCTCCTGCCTCAGCCTCCTAAGTGCTGGGATCACAGGTGTGCACCACCGCACCTGGCTGGAAGGAACAGGCATTTGGGAGTCAGTGGGAGAGGGGCAGTGGCTGAGGGCGAGGCTGTTCAGGAAAAGAAGAGAAGAAAGAATACAGAAGCCATTGATGTCCCAGCAGCTCAGCTCAAGGACGCAGTGCAGATGTGGAGGGAGATTTTGGGAGAGTAGCACAAATGGGAGGGAGCGAGAAGAGTTGTCAGGAGTTTATGTCACATTCGAGAGGCTGTGGCAGGCAGATCCACAGGCGTTCAGGGCCAGCCTGGGCTACACAGAGAGACCCTGTCTGAAAAAATCAGAAAAAGGGGAAAACAGCCCCGGAGGAGTTGAACTCGTCTTTTGTGTGGACCGCAGAGCCATACTGCCCTCCTCACCCACACATGTCCTTTGCAGGTGGCAGGCGCTCGTGGGTGGCCTTTTGCTGCATGTGTCCTGGCGCCAGGGCTGGGTGGAGATCCACGGCACCTCAAGGTAGGCGGACTCTGAGCTGCGGTTGTGGCCTATGCCCTCCGGCCTGGGACCTGTTAACCCTTCCGGTGTGGGGCTTGGGCTCAGTTTCCTTCTGACCTTGCGATTCAGAGATTTGTAAAGTAGTGTTCTCCTGGTTAATCACGCCCTGCATGATAGTAAAGGTAATAGCAACATTTGAGTCACAGTGCCATATTAACTTGGCTTCCTTTTAGGTCACAAGATCAGTATACCTGTGTGATTATATCAGCTTTAAATTATTTTTATAAATCTTTATTCTGAATTGTTTAGTTACTTATTTCAGTACTGGGGATCAAACTCAAGACCACTACCGCTGAGCTATATTCCCAACCCCTTTCCATTTTTCATTTGAGATAGGGTCTTGCTAGGTTGCGCAGGCTGTCCTCAGATTTGAAATCAGCTTCCCAGGTAGCTAAGATTGCAGGCGTGTGTCCACTCGTTCCCTTCCTTACACTGAGGATTGAACCCAGGGCTTTTGCACTGAGCTACATCCCCAGTCCTTTTTATTTTTAAAATTTGAGATGGGGACTTGCTAAATTGCCAAATTTCCCAGGTTGGGTTTGAACTTGAGATCCTCCTGCCTCAGCCTCTTGCAGTGCTGAGATTACAGATGTGCCAATGCCTGGCTCTTAGACCTTTTACTCTGTTTTCTGGGCTTTGTTAGGTGGCTTCACAGTCATACACGTGATGTCACCTTTGTTGCACTTTTTGGCAAAGAACCCCACATCTGGCTTTCTCTTGTCCCTGTGGTCAATACCTGCTAGCACCACTCAGGGTTTCTGGTTGCCATGGCCCTAGGGAAGGGGTGTTGCTAGCAAGCGAGGGAGTTCCTTTGTGTGTGCCAAGGCTGGGTCTGTGTGTGCTGTGGCCACTGTTTCCTACTGGGCCGGGGTTTCTGATAACATCACTGGGACCCGAAGCTGTGTGTGAGCAGTCGGCGAGGTTCAGCTCTGCTAAAAAATGCAGACGACAGCAGGAAGACAGCCCGGGGATTGCAATGCTGGGGCTGGAAGGCGGTTCCCAAGTGGCTCTGGACAGCAGATGCCACAGCGGCACCTGCTGAGTGCAGAATCCCTGCTTCCACGTTGAAGCCCGCCACACAGCTGCTGGTACTGCAGAGGCTGTGTCCTCCCAGGACATGCCCTTGTTGACCAGTCACTTATTACCATCTAGGCCTCGATGATGCTCGTGAACCTGGGGTCACAGGGACGGACAGCTCCGGTTTGCAGCCACAGCCTGTCATTGGCAGCGAGTCCATGATGCTCGAGCCAGGACCGAGGGAGTCTAATTTCCTGTGTGCTGGGTTCCGTGTGTACACGAAGCAGCACCGAAAGTCATTTTTAACCTATGTACCACCTTTTGTTCATTCAAAATAAGAACAAATTTTGAGCATTCAGGTGTTCTTTTAACTAGAGAAGTTCTAAGTTAAAAATTCTATGCCATAGTTCCTTTAAAACCGGAGATTTCCAGGGTGAAAGCAAATTCTCTTTCCTTAATTTTACATGAAAACCATTTCAGTCTGAGCATGGTGGCACACACCTGTAATCCCAGCACTCTGGAAGCTGAGGCAGGAGGATTGCTGTGAGGCCAGCCTGGGTTGCATAGTGAGTAGAATACATAGCAAGACCCTGTCTCAAAAAACAAAACAACAAAAGACTTATTACTATATAATAATACATATTTTTGATGGAACTTCCAAGTTAACTCAGCACTGTTTGTAAAGCAATGAACAGCAAGCCAAATCAGTGAAGGTCCGGATGGTGGGGACGCTGTTTTTCATGAGCGAGTGATTACTCATTTTTAAGGGAGCTGACCCATCTTCATCAAAGCTATTGATGGTTAGAATTCCCCAAATATATCTTCATATGTTGGTATTTCATTTTGATTTTGTAGTTGTCATTCTCTAGTTTTATAAAAAAATTGTCTTGTCCAGGGAAAAGTTAGCTGTATTTTTTTTTTTTTTTTTTTTTTTAGTTTTGTGAGACAAGGTCTTGCTATTAGTTCAGGCTGACCTCAAACTCACGGAGATCCTCTTGCCTCAGCCCCACGGGCATGCACCATCACACCCGGCTCAACTTCATGTGTTTTAAAATAGTTTTCTCTCCAGAGGAATGCTTCTGTAGAAATTACTTTTTTTTTTCTTTTCTTTTGAGGCAGTCTCACTCTGTAGTTCAGGCTGACCCTGAACTCATGATGGCCCAGGCTGACCCTGGTCATCCTCCTGCGTCAGCCTCCTGACTGTGGGGTCACAGGTGTGGGCCACCATCTGGTGTTTTTGTGCACGTTTAGAGAAGGGAGAAGGCCAAAGGTGAAAGTACCCTGAGCGATGGAATTTGATGGGAGCTCAGTGGTGCCTGGGCCCTTAGTCTAGCCAGGGACACTTCCACTCGTGCAGCTGCTAAGAAGTTCCGCCCTTAGGACGCGTGCTGCTGAGGAGTTCCAAATCACCAAGGGGCTGAAGAGCAAGTCTCTAAAGGCTTCCTGGGCTCTGCAGTTTGCTGCAGTGGCTCTCTCTGCTGCCAGAGCAGGAATCCCAACAGCTCGTGGTCCTCAGAAAGACTCAGCAGGTGGACTCGGGGCGGCCACGGCTTGTGCACTCCTGCTCTGACTTGTGGTCTGAGGACAGGATCTTCCCTGGGCTCTCTGGTTGAAGTAATACTAGGGCTAGATTTTTCGTCTTCTTTTTTTTGAGACCGCGTCTTGCTACGTAGTTCAGGCTGGTCTTGAACTCACTGTTTCCTCAAACTTGCAGCGATCCTTCTGCTGCACCCTCCTGGGCACTAGGATTGCAGGTGTGGCTGAACTTTGTCAAGGGAATGCATGTGTACCTGTCTGAGTCAGAAGGAAGAGTGAGGAATGGAGAAAGCTCTAAGGAAGGAAGGGAAAAGAGGGAGATAGACCTTAGGGAGAGCAGTCACCATTAGGGAACCAAAAGAATGAAGTCTGGGGCTTTGCTGTAATTAGGAAGTTAATGTATGCCCAAGTCCTCTTAATTGTGAAGTAAGTATTGCCTTTACAGTGGCAAGGAATTGGATGTAGCTGGGTGGCGCTGTGCCTGCCTGACTTGTGCAAGACCCTGAGTTTGTTTCCTGGTACCAGAGGGAATCACTATTGAATGACAGTAACCCTGTAGAAACCTTGGTACCTTGCGCTTGTTATTTTCATGTGGACCACTAGGTGTCAGTAGAACACAGGCTGTCCCAGAAATCTGCGTGGGAGCCCTCTGGCTGGGTGAACAGAGCTGCAGAGTGTCTGCAAGGAGCAGATGTTCTCTCAATAATGCATGCTCTATTTGAAAAACAAGTGATTTAATTTAATTAGCCTCCATTTCAATAGCAACACTTTTCTAATCCGTGCCAACAGACTTTTGTTAGCTTTTTGCGAAGCACTTTATTTGCCAGGGTTCTGAGGGATGGCAGGGTGTAGATAGAGCTTGCATGCAAATGGAAGCCCAGCCTGCCTCACACATGAGGCAGTATTTGTGCTCAGGACTCATTAGGGGAACTGACACAGCGCCACAGTGTTCAGACCAGACCCTAGCAAGAGGTCCTTCGGCATCAGGATCTGCAGTTTCTCCAGCTAGGACTCGCGGAGGACCCTCTTCATCCATCTGTCCTCTCTCCGTCCCTCTCCTCCCCACTCTGCAGGGACCCGAGATTCCACCACATCCACCTCAGGACCCAATTCCATCCTCCTTCCTTGTGGCCAAACATGGCAATAATGAAGAAAGAAACCAGATCAAGACAGTGGTGGCTGATGAGCTGGGCAAAGGGGCTGCATCGTTCTTTGTTAGAATCTCACAGCCTGGGTTAGAAAGGAGGGAGGCTCAGGATAACCTCCCTGGAAGGCGACTTTGTCACCAGTTACAAACAGAACTCCAGTGCATGTGTCTGTGAACAGTGACCTCACTTCAGGGAATATATCCTGAAAACTGTGAAAACATGAGTATGAGCACAAAATATACTTAAGGATAATCGTATATCATTACGATAGTAAAAATGTAAGATTAGGGCTGGGGATTTAGCTCAGTGGTGCTGCTGCCTGCCTTGCAAGTGCAAGGACCTGAGTTCAATCCCAGGTACCAAAAAAAAAAAAAAAAAAAAGATTAACTTACATGCCCAGCAACAGGCTTATATTTTTTGTTGTTGTTTTGGGATTTTTTGGACAGGGTTTCACTATGTACTTTAGGCTGGCCTTGAACTTGCTATATAATGCCGGCCAGCTTCCAGCTTGCAGTGATACTCCTGCCTCAGCCTCCTGAGGGGAGGATTACAGGCTTGGGCCACTACACTTGGCAATACATTCATTTACTGTTTAATCAAGGATGACTCTTCTCGACATGGAAAGAGGCAAAGTTAAACAGCTTATAAAACAATATGTACAAAGGAGTCCAAGTTTTGTTGGTGTGTTCAGATATGTTCATGTGAACACCTCGGAGGGCAGGAGCAAGGTATTAACAGTGGTTTTCTGTGGGTAATGGTGTTGGAACCACCATGTTTTTCTCCATTAGATATATCTTCAAAATTTTCTAGCATGAGTTGGTATTACTCTTCAATAAGAAAGTGATGATGGTTCTGCCGCCTGCCTCGCCAATGCAAGGACCCGAGTTTGATCCCTGGTACCAAAAAAAAAAAAAAAGAGAGAGAGAGAGAGAGAGAGAGATTATGTTTTTATGGAAAACAATGACTTGTCTCCATTCTGTGATTCTACATGATTCTAGCTTCATAGGTATTAAAGCTTTTTATTCTTTTTTCAGTGCTAGGGATCCAAGTCAGGGTTTTACAGGCTGGTCTGGCGCTGTACCATTGAGCTAAAGCTGCAGCCCATGTGTGTTTGCTTTTAATCCGGTTAATTTGTTGGGTTTTTTTGTTAAAGTCGCTTTTATTTTTACTTTTTATGTATACATATATACACTTAATAGTACATGTCTGTGTTATGTAATGCTTACATTCATAGGGAGTTGGGACATGTACATAACACAT